GGTTAACTTCAATGTGAGACAAATCATTCATATTAAAAACAACTATAATAATATGCATTTTTATTCTTAAACTATTGCATATATATTAGCTGTATAACAAAAGATATAAATTCTATGCAAGGAAAGCTAGAACTTCGGTAAATAAGTACTGTATTATAAAACCTTCCACTCTTTTTCTAGCAATTTCTTTANTGAAATTTAGTAAAAGAAAAGCTATATTAAAATTAATAATTTTCAACTGAATCTAAAAAAATTATATTCTTTTATTGTTTTAAATGTTAAAAAAGTTTAAAAATATATAGTTTTTATGCTTTTTATAATTTATTTTTCATACACATAATTTTATATATTCATATATTCTTTTATGTTTTATGAAACTAGATATCTACTTACATATGATATCCACAACATTTTTTATATGAAAATTTATCTATTTAACAATTATAAAAATATTAGAAAACAGTTTGTTTTGTAAATTGAACTTTATGATGATAATTATTTAAAATCTTTAATTTTCCAGATAATTATATATTCTTAAAAGATGAGGGCATAAAATGATCTACTGACATATCAGCATTTTGTAAGATGAAATTGTAGAGAACAATTCAATATCTTGCTATAGATTTTTGGGAAAATTATTGACTCTATCTTTCCTATAAATATCCATTTATATAATGAAACAACATTAATTTTAAATCAATTAGCATATGTCTATTGATCCCATTTAATTTAATTGTTACATTGTTAATAAACTCTAAAAACTATTTTTGGTGTTTTCTTAATTTTTTTCCTTTACTACATACAAAATTTTTATTTAACATCTATTAAAATTAACTTTTGTATATTCAAAACAGATCTTAAATTCAATTCAATAATTTATTTTTACTCTGTTATCCAAACACTTTTAGAAAAGGTCTTTTAAAGTTCTATATTTTGTAATAGTCATTAGTATTTCCATAAATTTTTCACTTGAAAATTCTCTTAATTATATATATTATACCAGAATTGAAGTATTAGATTGATTATTCATGATGAGCACCAGGTTAACTTCAATGTGAGACAAATCATTCATATTAAAAACAACTATAATAATATGCATTTTTATTCTTAAACTATTGCATATATATTAGCTGTATAACAAAAGATATAAATTCTATGCAAGGAAAGCTAGAACTTCGGTAAATAAGTACTGTATTATAAAACCTTCCACTCTTTTTCTAGCAATTTCTTTAACCAAACTAACATTTTCGGCTATATTTAATAGCCTTTAAAAAATTTAAAAATTTAAAAAACAAATTTAGAATATCTGACATTCCAATATTGTAAAACCTGAGGAAGGCCATTAAATATAGCCTAAAACGTTAGTTTAATTAAAGAAATTGCTAAAAAAAAGGAGTTGGTTTTATAATACTTAAATGATATAAAAACTGTTGTTCTTATATATGATTAAATTCACTAAATGTTCCCTGTATTTGAGTTATCTGTTTTCTCTACATTTTCTTAGGATAGCTTTTTGTATCTTTCTGCTGGTGTCACCAAAAATGTCCTTAAATCTCTGAAGCATTTCATCATCAAAAGAAGTCATTTTCTTCAACTCAGCAGCTTGAGTTTCTTCTTTTCTTTCCTGACAATTGTTCATGGCAATATTTGTCTTCTTCATAGCAGAAGCAGAATTTTTTGCTTCTGCTTCTGCTCTGGGAAAGAAAAGAAGAAACTCGAGCCCCTGAGTTGAAGAAAATGACTCCTTTTAATGAAGAAATGCTTTGGAGATTTAAGGATATCTTTGGCGAAACCAGCAGAAAGATACAAAAAGCTATCCTAAGAAAACATAGAGAAACAGGATAATCGAATACAGGGAACATCTAAGGAGAGATCAAAAGCAACAGGGCCAGGAGAAGATGATCGAAATTAAAAAGAATGGGGAGGAGTAGAAAAGAGGGAGAAAGGGAAGAGAAAGATCTCATAAAAGGGGTAATGATAGCAGTCTAATAGGCCTATTTGGAATATGGTCACTAGATCCTCTTCTTTTGAACAACATGTTCTTGTCTAATTTGGTTTGTGATTTTAATCTTTCATGAATTAGATTCAACATAAGTTTATCTGACATGAGAAATTAAATTGTTTGATAATTACTACATTTTGTCAATCCCTTTTTTTGTAGAAAGAAATAAAAGAATTTAAGGTCATGAACCAGATGCCCAGATTTTGCTACAGATGGTGTCCACCCTATTCTTTTTTATGAGATTTAAGCAGTTCAAATATTATTTCATCACAACCTAGTGTTTTGTTGTTGCCTAGGTTGTTTACTGTCAATATAATCTCTTCTTTCACAAATCTTTGATTCAAACTTGTAATCTTCTTATATGTCAAATAAGGTATTTATTATATCTAATATCCCAACTTTTTAATATATATATATATATATTATTTTACATGTATCTTACATCATCATTTTTTGAAAATTCAAGAATATAACTGAAGTAATATATTTTTCAATACTACTTTCAAAATTTTAATCAATCAAAATTCAATGATTTACTGAATACTTTTAGTTTTTTATTTTACAGCTTTTTGACAAATTTATATATACTTCTTACAACAATTTTTTTCATATTTTTTATATCAAGTATAACATACAAAATTTTGTAGAAAATTTCTTTGTAGATTGTATTAATTTAAAAAGATATATGATGATTTCATTCTATAAAAATGATATTACTAGCAGTGCCATAATTAGGGTGGTGCCAGTGGGCCCAAGCACAGGGCGCAGACCCTGGGGGTGAAGAAATGACCTGGACCAAGTTTTGGGTCATAGTTACAGAAGCTCACACCGGACGCATAAAAGGCTAGTTACAGTGCTGATTACTAGATATATATAAAATTATAGATATAAAAATCTTATTTTAATTCAAAATATAGAAACACATTTACTACATACAAATAACTGTAAGTGCCAGAACTTTCATCGAATTCATATATAAGTTTCTAATTGATTAGTTAACTTTAATAACATATTTTTATGATCAATTTTATCAATTTAAAATTATTATTTTTGACAAACATTTATTAAATAACTTATTACTAAGATTAAAGAAAATTAATTATAAATTATATCTTATATATTACTTAAACACATAACGAACTAACTTAATATCAAAAAAAGTTTTAAAAATTTCTAAAAGTATCTAAATTTAAAAAAGTGCATTAAAAATTTATAAAATTTTTGAATTTGAAATATTGAAGTTTTCCAAAATGAAATTTCATTCTGTAACACTACAATTTTAAAAAGTATTAAAAAATTCATTTATTTATTTAACTCTTGTTAAAATATTTAAAATTTGTTTTTAAAATTTTTTATTTTTTGAAATTTAGTAAAAGAAAAGCTATATTAAAATTAATAATTTTCAACTGAATCTAAAAAAATTATATTCTTTTATTGTTTTAAATGTTAAAAAAGTTTAAAAATATATAGTTTTTATGCTTTTTATAATTTATTTTTCATACACATAATTTTATATATTCATATATTCTTTTATGTTTTATGAAACTAGATATCTACTTACATATGATATCCACAACATTTTTTATATGAAAATTTATCTATTTAACAATTATAAAAATATTAGAAAACAGTTTGTTTTGTAAATTGAACTTTATGATGATAATTATTTAAAATCTTTAATTTTCCAGATAATTATATATTCTTAAAAGATGAGGGCATAAAATGATCTACTGACATATCAGCATTTTGTAAGATGAAATTGTAGAGAACAATTCAATATCTTGCTATAGATTTTTGGGAAAATTATTGACTCTATCTTTCCTATAAATATCCATTTATATAATGAAACAACATTAATTTTAAATCAATTAGCATATGTCTATTGATCCCATTTAATTTAATTGTTACATTGTTAATAAACTCTAAAAACTATTTTTGGTGTTTTCTTNCTAAAAAAAAAAAAAAAAATACATCTCATTAAATCTTTAATACATAAAATAATAAAAGCATGTTAATTTATAATTTGCAATAAAACTAAAATACAGTACTAACTTTTAATAATAAAATTATTGTAGACCATCTTTCAAAATTCTATATGAAACTTTAAAAAAATGATTAAAATTTAAACTTAATAATTTTATATAAATTTGTCAATATGAATTATGATTAATAAATTGTTACTAAGTTCTTTAAAATGATATTTGGCCTTTAGCTATACAAAATATATATATTTAAACAATTTAACTCCAGCTGATTTTTGACTCACTGAACTAAAAATGACTCATTTCTTACTTAACTCTTACAGAAGGTATTTAAAAAAAAAATAAAATAAAATTAGAATTACATCCAATTTTCAGAATATATAGATATATTCTTTGAAAACCGATATACGATATTTTTTACACATACGTGATTCATTCAGACTGTAAATATTAAATTTATTTCAATTTCAAAATGATTAATAACTAGAAATTAAAGCATTTTGAGATGCGAGTTTACAACTTTTAGTCACGTTATACACACACGTACATAGAAAAAAACGTTAAAATAAAACTTTTAATAAGAAATTTATTCAAAAAATAACGAAGAAACATAATAAAATTAACACAATCATAATAACAACAATAATAAAAACCCGAGAACAACTTTAAATGCCAGAACCGCAGAATCACATGTTATCAGCGTAGCTTCGTACGATCGAATGATCTATAAATATTTACTCGTGTCACGTTTTCGGGCATATTTACTTCTTTTATAAGATTTTTGTTTAATATGTACGAAATTTTTTTTTCTGTGTAATGTGACAATTTCGATTGCAACTCGCGTGGTCAGTGAGCGTGATCAGCAGTGATTCCAAAATGTCATTCACGATGAGAGTCACATGACTGGGTGGAATCATCAACATTTACCACATCCACGTGAAAAACATGTGACATATCACTATCCGAACAATCAAATCGGCAAAAAATTGAGAGAAGAAAAAAAGATTAAGACTCACTTGACTTTGAAAGTGTCCGCCGCCGTGTTTAAGTGAATTGGCTGATGTGGATGAAGGTAAACTCAATTCTTCTTCCTGTTTTTTTAATAGGAATAAATCGTCGCAGATTATGTGCATATGTTTTATATGCAAAATTATTTAAAATCATTAAATGTGACGAGAATTACTCACATCACTTTCTATGTCAACATCCCTGTCTTCATCACTCATTTTCCACCTGCGCCTGATTGAAGGCGGAAATCGCGACTGAGTTCTAGTGCCACGTTCGTGACGTCATTATGTAAACATTTAGAAAAATGTTCAAATAAAATGCTATTTATTAGTTATTAAAATTTAAAAAATAATATTCCATACAAAAATTTTATCCTTATTAAAACGATTACGTTAATTTAAAAATATGAAAGTTTATATTATAAATGAACCTAACCCGAGTACTGCTATGGATTATCGATTCGATTATTAATTTGTATTAAATACTAACGAGATTAATATAATATTTTTAAAAATAAATAATTATAAGTATTAAATATATTTTTTTCTCTGTGAAAATATTTATTGCATCTATTTATTTGTTGAAAATAATGGATTGGTTAAATCGATTTTGTAAAATTATCGATCGATTTAAATTGTGTACAAGTTAAAACACGTACGCTTTGTTACAAATATATTGAAATAAATATCATTAACAATAATTTTATTAAATTTTAAATTAAATCTTCTAATTTTCTTAATACAGTCGATTGAAATAGTAAATTTATATTACATTGGAATTGATTTTATCTTATAATCAATTTTTATTGGAAAATACTGTATAAAAAAAAAATTGTAACTATAATCTAATAGTGTAATTAATTTATCCTATTTTTATTTAATGCAACATTAATTATGTTAAATTACTTGGTAGGCATATTGCAAATTATCGTTGTATTTTATCGGAATCAAGGTTATTTTTTATTTTCAACTCTTCTCGCTTTGTGAAATAAGAGCGTTTTTTCGTCCCATCGTTGCTTGGCCGGACCCACAATGGAAAAAGCCAGAACCCGATGTATCTAGATAAAAATCATGCATTAAAAATTTTGAAGATCTGACTAGAACTCGAACTTGATTCTCTTACAGCGGCAAACTGGCGCCTTTATTTCTTTGCCATCCGTCAGTCAATCAAAATTATTATTATTATTATTATTATAAAATCACTTTACTGATTAAACATAAATGAATATTTCGGATATTAAAATCTTTTAGTTATTAAATTATTTTAAAAAATATTTTCTTGATGATCGGACATATCATGCTGTCATCAGAATGAAATTTAAATTTTAAATTAAATTTCTAAAATGAAATCTTTTTAAAAACGTGATGCAAATAGAAAATATATTTAAAAGGAAAATAAATAAATAAATATATATATCTAGATACATTTCTTTTTAAAAATTTAATTTGTTTTTCCTTGAATAACTTAAGTACAATTTTAATAACGTTCTAAAGTAAAAATATCAAGAGATTATCGAAACGTAGAATTTATTTATATCGAAAAAATAAGATTTGGAAGCGAAAAAATGATCTTGAATAATTTTATGTAATCATTTAAAATCAATCTTCAAATGACTACAAATGTAATTTAATGAAATTTTAAAATTCTTAAATGATTTTAACCTTTAAAAAATCAAACCGGCTTTTACATTTTAACATTTTACATTTATATCGTATTTTCATAAAATGAAATATTCATTAATCAAAAACATGCTTTTGTTCATTTAATTATAATAGTGGGCATTTTTATTTTTACTCTTCACTTTTTACAGCAATCAAATTTTAAATGATGTCAAAACTGACGTAAAAATATGTACTAGCTCAATAAAATTTTATTAATTTAGAAAAATTAATAAATTCTTAATGCATCTTAAAGTAAAGAAATTGATGCAAAATTTAAGCAGTTGAGCTGTTCTTTTAGGAATGCNAAAATTTTATTAATTAGTAAATTTATTATTATTATTTTTTTAATTTTTTAATTTATTATTATTATTGTAAATTTCTAAAGAACTTTTCCAACATTTATATACATTATCGACGAAAAAGCGCAGAATGTGCACAGGCGAAAATCAAATATGGATCCTACCGATAGGAACTCTGGTTTATGTGCTATTTGAAGACTACTGTTTTGTTTTTATTTTTATGTTAGTACATAATAAATTATCAGTAAAATTTAAAATTTATGTATTGTTTTGAATATTCCTTCTTTTGGTATTTTGTAATTATTGATATAAATTATTGTATGAATACAATCATTACAATATTTCGCTTTGAACTTTTGCCATTATCTGTTTATCATCTTGTTAATAAATAAATCATAATCCAAGTACTTTAATTTGCTTCACATGAATGTATAATTTATTCTTAAAATATCATTTTTATGAATGAAAACTAATTTCATTTGGCTGCAATTTTAAAAATTGTAGACCTATAAATTCTCACTGGTGTCTCCCTCTCTGTCTGTCTGAACAAAGTTATATAGGTGAAATTCGATACCAGATATGAGGAGCAGGAGGCTCCGATTAACAAGCTTTTAAACATTCGAAAACTCGATAATTTATTTACAAAAAACCTTGGGAGCAGGAGGCCCCAGTTAACTGTATACAAACTTCTGAAGCACATTAAAGTCACGTTATTTCAATTCAAAAATTTTCCCGTGAAAGGAGTTAGACGACTCTATTGCTAACAAGAAAAGTATGATATAGTCTACAGGAGCAAGACATAACTAAAAATTGAGAGCATTGTGACGAAAAATTGCAACCCGACAATAATTATACCCGACGTAATATATCAATAAAAATATTTATTTTTTTTATAATTATAAAAGTTTATATTGAATTGTTTACATACAAATAATACTGAACCTAAATAGCGGTTCAATTATTTTCCATTGATTAGTAAATTTAAAATGTGTATATATTCCTATTCAAAATTACCATGAAAGGTTATTTTTCAACGAAAGATTCGCAAAAAATACTGTTTATAGAATAAAATTTTATTAAGTCACAAGAATATTTATTAGATTAATTCATAAACAAATACATATTTAATACAGAGCAGATTTTCTATTAAAAATTTAATATTAATACGATTTAAAAATTATAACAGAGGAAAAAAAATTAAAATATGAAAGAATAACATAAAATATTTTAAAATAAAAAACATAATTAAATTAACAATAACTGACTTGATAAGAAAAGAATAATAATAAATTATAAATAATTAAGAATTTCAATTTTCCATTTAAAAGTTGTATTTTATAAATAAACAGTATTAAATTATATTAACATAATTATAAATGTTTAATGAATTTTGCATATATTTAATTAAAATGAAAAGCTAATGCAAAATAAAATGATTTAAAATGTTAATTATTTATAATTTAAAAATATTAAATAAATAGTAACTAAAAAATTTATTTTTTAATGATGTCCAATTCGCTCGAGTCTTTATTATTTTAAAAATACAGTTAAACAATAATAATTATTTAAAATAAAATGCTTTTATTTTTTAATAGTAACAATTCATTATAATAGATATTGAAAACTTAAAACATAAAAATATAAAAATTATTTAATAACAGGATTTCTAAACCTTCTTAAATGTTTTCGATAAATTCATAGTATGTTACATTTTCATGAATAATAATAATAATAATATTTAGCCTATTATTATTATTATACATAATTGTTAATATAGTATATATGTATGCATATTAATTTTATTTATTTCAATAAGAAGACATTGTTTAAAATTACAAACAAACATGAAAAATATTAATAATAAAATAAATTACTGCGTTTTTACATTTTAATTTCTTGATAATGTTGAAAATTTTTGTTATAAATTAAGTGAAGAATTTCCATTGTCATCTTTCAGATGTTAAACCATAGTGTAAGAAATGTAATACAGTACAGTATAATACATGTTTGCATGTACTGATAATTATTTAATTTAGGATGTTTGAAGTAAAATTTTTCTTTCACATAATTTACTTTTTAGTTATTGGTTATAATAAATCATTCATTATTGTTTTGTCCACTAAATATATATTTTTTCTATTAATTAAAGATAAAACGATTTTTAGCATTAATTTATAAAATTAAATGAGCGTTATTGCATCAATTCATACAAAGAAACTGCTTCATTGTTTAGAGAAGGCAAATATGATATTATGCAACACATCTGATAAAACAGTGTAAAATACAATATAATATTATACCTTAATGGTCACTAATGATCTTTCAGACAGCTTTATTAAGTTATAATTAAATCAGTTACTTAAAATAATAAGTCTATGATTTCTAACTATTAATGATCATATATGATAAAATAAATTCTCTTAAAGAATTAATATTATGAAATATTTAAAAATATCACGTATTTTTTATTTCGGATTAATGAAATTTATCTTGTTTTTTAGTTTAAAGGGAATATTAAAAGTCAATGTATATGTATATTTTTCCTTTGTTACGAAATATATCACCATAATTTCAAAATATCCTATTATTACAATCTAAACATATATTTGTAATCTACATAACAATATTATCTTTATTACCATTGGTAATCATATTTAAAATATTAATTTTTGACCTATCAAACATCTTCGCTTCAATATTCAGATAAAGAAAACATTTCATTGGTTGAACTTTGTATTGATTATTCTTACTCTTTTGTGTCTGATGAAAAACAGATTATATATATATATAAATATATATACACTTGTATTAATATCTACGGAAGCCTTTAAACAATATATTCAAAAACTCGATAATTTATTTACAAAAAAGCATTTTTGAATCGATTAAATAACTTAAGTTAAAAAGAATTACAAAGAAAAAAATCTATTATTGATGCACGAAACTGTAAAGAGACTGACAAATACTAATGTGCAGTTGGAGCTAGCTTGTGTTATTTCAAAGGCGGACTATTATTGGACGATCCGTGGATTTGCTCTCCTTGTGTCGTTAGTAGAGTTTATGTGTTTAATACGCTCGATAGTAAACCGTTAATTAACGTAGAAGAAAGCGAAAGTAGTCTAGCAGACGAAAACAGAAGAGAAAATGCTTCAAGAGAATGGAAACGTAAACTTCATTTCCCAAACTAGACCAAGGAAATATGCTCTTCTGTGTGGTAGGTATTCTATATATTAATATAAATCTCAAACATTTATCCAACTTGGAAAAAAACATCTTAACAATCTTTAATTATGCAAAAACTATAAGTAATTAACGTAATCGAATTTTTAATTTTAACAGAAATATTATTTCACCGTAGTTAACATCGACGAGTTATGTATGTCACTTGCGGGCCACCGTACATTTCATCTTTTGTTAAAACGAAAGATTCGTAGATTTAATATAATCAATTTTGCGTTAAGGAACATAAAAATTGTTAAAATATAAAATAAATTACATTAATTTTGTCAAAAAGATTGCATAAAGTAAGAGAATTAGTTAGAACTCTTTTTTTCTCCAGTGGATTAAGCTTTAGTTTGGAAATGTGAAGCGGTCATCATTTTGCTTCATTCCGCGTTTGGTTGTCGTGCGCCTTTGTGGAAGTGCAGTAATAGTGTCCGTTGTTATTTTTATTTTGCCTATTTGTGAAGAAAGTTTGAAAGGATTTAATCATTCGGAGATTTTTTCATACGAAAAAACTCCGAGGGCATGGTGTTAGCCGAAAGAAGTGCAGCAGAAGACATTCGGAATGGTCGGCGTTCACGCGCATCATCGCCGAACGGACATTTGTCAGACGACAGCAGCGCCACTGATGATTCTGAGCATGGTAATTTTTACGTTTGGTTTTATTTATTTATTTTTTTTTTAGTATTTTTAAAACTCATTCTCAGCTGCGGTCGTTCGTTAAAACATCATCCGAAATATTAAGCGCCTTATTTAAACCGGATTATATATTATTTTGAATTAATTTCCCACATACATTAACAGAGGTTAACGTTATGGAGCCAGTTATAATACACGCTACACAAAGTGTAAAATAATAAAGGGCGATAAAATGAATGAAACATTTTAAAAATATAACAAATATTCGTATAGTAAATAATACACGCTTCAAATTACACGTGAATAATAATATATATAAATATACATTCAAAGTTGTTAGGGATATTTCCCTAACATCGCCGATATAATGCGTAATTATAAAATTAAGTATTATTAAATTTAATATAAAAATAAATTAAAAGTGTAGTTTTATTACTTTAAATTTGCTTAATTTAAGTTAATTTCGTTCATAATGAAATAAAAAAAGGTTAATGAAAAAGAATGAAAGTTTTCATTAAAATGTTTGCGAATCAGATGTGAGGAAAAAAATAATTTAGGGATTTTTTTTCCAAAAGAAAAATATGAGAAATTGATTTATTATTATTTTATATTTTTCCAAAACATATTGTTTAATGAGAATTAATAATTTCGTATTCATGTACATGAATCAAATTGTCAATAATTTGAACAAACAGGTTTTTTTTAATGTTTGTCAACTAAAACTCTGGCTTCAGCTAACAAAAATAATTATTCTTATTAAATATTTACTGCTGCAAATTAAAAAAGATATATGTAAAAAATACATTCAAATTTCAAAGAAAATTAAACTGATTTTCAATATTTTCTAGATCTTGGAGTGTATAAAGAATGGTTTATTTGTGACATTTTTTGTTCTTTTTGCTGATTTCAAAAATGAGATTAAATATGATCAGGTTACAATGTTTACAATATATTGAATGTTATAAATGTCCCAAGAACCCTATGTATTAATAATCATCCAACCGTTCAGTTGAATTAATTGGGTCTATTAAATCGGCTGATGGCCGGATATTTATAATAAATGTTTTTCAGAATACACAAATGATTCTCCATTAACATATAATGATTACGGTATTTTTAATTGATGACTTTATTTAAAGTTATCAATTATATTACCAATAAAATTTTCACTATCACTTCCAAATATATATATTTAATGACAAATTCTGTTAAATTATATTGTGGTATTCAAACTGCAGAACCCTAGGATTTCAAAAGTAATATTTGCAAAGATATAAGAAAATTTTTTGTTATTTTCATAAAAAATATTGAAAAACATTTCTGAACTTTATTTTTTCCAAAACTACAAGAAGCTTTATTAGGAAATAAAGTATTGAAATATTTCTTTAAAGTTTATTACTCAGAGTTTTGCAAAAAATAATACTCAAGCCTGAGAGTTTTGTTGATGTTAAAAGTTTGAAGATTATTGATTTAGTGTATTTTGATTAAGTGTTTCATATTTGATTGTACAATTTTACAATTAGCATAACTTGTATAATCAAATTAAACTGTATAGTAAAAAAGAAATTGAATATCTAATTAAATAAAAATTTTATTATAAAATGCAATAATATTTTCAGAATAATTTTTTAGTTCAATGATATATGTATTCAGGTTGAATTTAACAGATATTTCATTTTTTTGGCTTAATTGATTTTTGAAGATTAACCAAAATTATTCCTTCCTTCTCTGCACTTCTCTGCCCTTCTCTGAAATAAATATTTCTGGATAACAATTTTGATTTAAAATAGATTTTAAAAAATTGAAACAGCAACCAAAAATAATGTTCTTAAACATAATAAGCAATATATTGTACATTATGTTTAAAGATCTCAATGTTGTATTATTTTAATACCAAAAAAGTGATTTATTTCTTACGAAATTAACAACACAATTATCTATTGGCATTACAATTTGAAAAATGGAATATATTTCATTTTTTTAAATAGTGTCATTCTGTTCTCTTTGAATGATAATATTGCCTGAAGAGGACAAAGTTATATACTGTCAAAAGTACTTGCGTAAATAAACCTTTTCCATAATACTGGTAGACAGTTGTGTTGTTAATTTTGAACAATTATTCGGCAACTAGTGTTTTTACAATTTACTATTTATTTCTCTACTATAATATAATATCATTAGTTAACTATTACATCTCAAGTTTTTTAAAAATTTGTTTAATAATTAAATTAAAAAATTTTAAACTGAAAATCTAAAAAAATAAAATAGTTCATATGTATTTTTAATAATAATGAACTATACACAATTGCTGTAGAATGTACACACTTTACTTATCTGATGATTGTTATTGAGACAATTAAATATGGACTATATAGTATGCCAATTAAATAATGAGACTGGGACATTGGTGCATGCTCTTTGGATAATAAATAAATACTTTCTCCATTGGGACCTCTACAGAGTGGACTTTTCATCCATTGGTCACACAACTCTGAACATGCATTGCTTTTTATTTTATGATTACTTTAATGACTGTATTTCTGCACATCAGGTAGATCAGCATAATATGGAGTAATGGATAGTGATTAAATTTTACGTAAAATTATGTATATATCAACATCATCTCTAAACCAGATTGGGAGGTGGTTTGTAACTGGCAATGCATCTGCACAGTAAGCAGGAGTTGCAGGTTTGAGTCCCACTCCAGGCTGATTCTTTTCTTCCAGGAATTCTAAATCAAAAAAATTAAGTTATTATAACTATTAAAATTAATGAGATGGTGGCATAATCTACCTCTAGATAAATTATATAGTTTCTCATCATTAACTTAGCCATTTAATAGCCTGATAGTTTGCTAGATCATTTGGACAAAATTATATGCAGGAAAAGTCCTGCAGAAACTATAGGATTTGGTGATGAATGTTTGAGTAGGGCACAGGTTTTCTGTTGGCATGCTTGTTTACATGAAGATCCAGAGTCCACTGAGGATGAAGCCAGTTGTTTTGACGTTAGAAAATTTATTCCCAAGAGATGTTATGCATTTTATTTAAACGTTATAAATAGGCTATGAGAATGAATGTGGTGGTGAGAAATTAATGATTTTTTGATAATGATTAGTTTCTTTCACATAATAATGTGTAATGTGCTATTTGTTACATAACTTTTGGCCTCTGTTTAAACCACAGTCATTTAACACCTCTCTATTCACCTGGTTTGATTCCTGTGGATGCTTTTTTTATTTGTGTAAATCAAATTTGTCTTGAAAAATAAATGTTTTTATGACATGCTGAGCATCATGAAGGCAATGACCAAGTGATGGAACATGTTGATTGAAGACTTCTAGCATGTCTTCAATAGTCTTTGAATGATGCCAGCATTATATAGTGACAACAGGAAAGTTTTACAGAAATTATAATTTTTGTTTTGGAAGATAAATGTTTGTGTACAATAACAATTGCATTACTTAATTGACACATTATTTATCTATGATGTTGAAATATTTTAATATATACAGTAGAACCTCGAAAACTCGGCTCTCGATAACCCGGCACTCCGGATAACTCGGCCACACCCTGGCAGGGCAAAAAAATCCTTAGTTAATTAATTTTCATTATAGACAGCTTTATAAAAGTATAAAAGCTCTCATAAAGTATTTTTCTAAGGTCTGTCTTATCAGGTAAATTACTGTACACAGTGTATTCATTAATTTTCATTTTCATGTAGTAAAGGCTCTATGCCTTCATAAAGGACGTACTTTTCCTTTGTTTAAGGGTATTTGGGCAGTTTATTCTCTGTTATATTCTCAAGTAAACAATACATACAAGTACAGTACATTATTTTCTGAGGAAACACTCATACTTATTTTTTTTAACCCTATTCCCGATAACCCGGCATTTTCACAAACTCGGCCACCCTTCGGTCCACATTAGGCCGAGTTTTCGAGGTTCTACTGTACTTACAAATCTTGTTTTGGAAATATTAGTTGCTTTTGCATGTATTTAAAGTTTTTATACAATTAATCTGAATGTGATAATGGTATTTTTAAAAATATCTTTATTAATTTTTATTAAAGTTTTGTTTGTAAATATCAGTAAATCATTTGTTTAAAATATGAGTGTACCTGCTTAAATAACTTTTTCCACAAGTGATTATATAATGGTAAATAATGCTGACATTTATTTACATAATGCTAAATCAGAGCTATAATAGTTTAATATTTTTTAAAGTCTTTTCAATTAAAAAGATAATTGATATCATTTTTTGATTAATGACAAATATTACATGATGATATAATTTAATCACAAATAATGATAATATAATATTTTATTTATGTGTGAATTGTAATATTTGGACATAAGTGAACACATTATTTTGTATTAATTACTTTAATACAAAATAATGTGTTGAGCAACAGGTGAATACCAAAGTTATGAAATGTTTTGAAGAAAACAAAATATATTTTGAATGTTTCCATCTGTTTATATTTGTTTTCATTGATAGAATCATTGACTTATAAACTGACAAATTTTCATTCATTGTCTTTGAGAATTGTTAATTTTTACTCAAAATTGCTATTTAAGCTTGAGAAGAAATTAATTCTCATTTCTAAATTACATAAAATTTTGTTTATTTTTTAAGAGTATGCTCTAGTAAGCATCCTCTCAAAAATAAATTGATTTGGAATAGTCATAAATAATAAGTTTATGATTATTACGTTACTATGTTTAAAATTTTATTTGAGTATTAAATAAGTGTAATTAAATATCTAAATGTTTTTAAGCAATATTAGTTATTTTCAAAAGAGTGAACATTAAAAAAAAACAAATACTTGAAACTTTAAAAGCAGTTCATTGTGTTTTATTAGAAGCTTTCAAAAACTATTTTGAAATTAATGTTTAAAATTTTTGAAGCATTTAACAATGAGACAAATGTACAAAGTTTTTTAACTTTATTAAGTAATTTATTTTTGTTTTTCAAATTGAACAAAAGTGCTCTCAAAATCTT